CTCCATTAACCTTTTGTTTGAATCACCACCGGAAATAACATTGGATGGTGTTCCTTGTTAAGCAGAAAATCACAAGGTTTTGAAATGAGTCACCCCAGGTAGAGCGCCCCCCCTGGACCCCGTTATAGCGCACCCGGGCCATTAAAACCTCTCTGAAATAATAGTCAGGACTTTCTGAAACCTCCCGTTGCTGTTTCCATTAGGTGTGAATGCTGAGGATTTTTTTTCTTCCTTTTTTTTATTTTTTTTCGAAACCGAAGACTGAATGAATGTATTCGGACGGGGTCTAACCTGTGTTCGAATGCGTTGGTATTTTTTTTCTTTCTCTGACAAGCGAAGATAAGGATGATATATTAAATTAAATGTACTATTTGAAGGGAAAAAACAAACTTATATGAGATATGTTCTATCTGGGGGAAACCAGTTATATTTAAAATACGAGAGAGACCTTCATCTACTGCATATTTTAAGATAAATATAATGAATCATGGTTATTTAAAATTGAGCCTCATATATCGTCAGAAACATACCAAGATCATATTTCAGATGTTATACCGGTCAAATTGATAATAATATACACAATAATCAATAAATAGATAAAGAAAATCAATAAAAACAAAACAAAAAACTGCCTTTAAAAATCTCAGCTGATTTACTGCCCGTTTTCCCTTGTCATGGTTTCCCGCGTCTCGTTTTCCCTTTTCTCTCCCCCCCTTTACCCTTCACCTGCCCCCCCCCCCTTGATTAGTCACAGGTTGTCAGGTACAAGTGGTTAGGAAGCGAAAATATGCGAGAAAATATGTGGTAGGAAGCTTAAGTGATTATTTCCCTCCCTTCCCCCCCTCCCCCTCCCCTACCTTTCCCGTTTCCAGGTATAAAGGGATATTTTCCATATCGGCCATTTAACTGTGGGAAAATTTATATTTGTATTTAATTCGTGGCAGGTTTTATTCGATCGCATTAACACGCAAGATTAATACAATACTTTTTAGGTCTTCAATACGTAGGAAATACGATCAAATTTACGTATAATGAATGTATTATCAGATTTCATTATATATACACCTCACATTTAACATAAGTTGGATAATGCAGCATTAGTACTGATACATGATATATGCATTATTAATGAACTAGTGAAACAAAGTATATATCGTCAGGTTATGTATTCATTAAATCGAACTATAATACATGATATAGATTAATATACTTACGAACACACGGCCAGCACTAAATTCTATATTCATGACACATAATCAAATTATTTATATATGCGATGTATTTATTAATGGCATATACATCCCCTCAGACTATAAATCCACAGCATACCTTGCTTATGAAACACTATTGTTTTAAAATTATTTATGACCGCGGGAAGAACGGGGGGGAAGGAGGAGGGGAGAGGGGGGGTAGGGGACACCTCACGCTATCCATACCAAAGAGGCGATCTAGAAATTTCTCATCTAGAAATTTCTCGCGGTATTTATTTGCACTAAATAACAAAGGATTTGAACAAGAACGCTGTCAGTGAGATGCCAAAAAAAGATCAAAGGAAAAAAAAAACGTACCAGTTTCAATGCTGGCGTCACTTTATAGAAGGAGACTGATTTTGTTTGGTAAACACTATAATAAACGATAAATGAAATATCTAAAAAATATACGCAGGTCTCACTGTGATGTCTATTACGTCTTTTAGAGATTTATGAGGGATGTAAGTATATAAGAGTCATATTCTACAGTTGGTAAACTCCACCGTTTACATAATTAATACAGTATGCTAACTGCTTCACGAACAGCAGACTCACAGATTATAACGTATTCTTGATAGATACACTTTAAAAGCTGTATTCAAAGACCCTTCCTCTATTTACATCCACTTAATGAAAATATATGAGGTATTTCAGACATATATTGTACTCGCGACGGTCGATGCATTTCAAAAGCGTCAGCACTTTAGGAGAATTGTTGACTAAAACAAGTGAGCATCTTCATGGACTTACAATCTAGTTTGATAACATATTCAGGTACCATTGAGTAGGATTCGAACTGACCTATTGCGGAATCATCGACACGTGACATGTTCTCAAAGTAAGAAGATATTTCCACTCACTTTCTTCCACTTTGTAAGAAAAAAAAATAGACACTTGCTTTCAAACAAGCGATAATAAAAAAAAATGTCTAAAGTACTTACACAAAAAAGCTTCTTCCGTCCTCCAGGTAATACGTAGGAGTAAACTAAAAATTCGGCAAACGCAAACACACTTAATGGAATCCGAAGAAGATATCAGCCTTTGCTATACGAAGGTGGAAATAAACCCGCGCGCAGACGAGGTCAAACTGCCTCTGACCTGACCTTCACCCTGGCAGAGCCTATTTGAAATATCGGGACAGGGAAGGGGGAGTGGGGAGAGGTGGGGTGAGGGGGAGTGGGAGGAGGGGGGTAGTTGAAATGGGGGAAGGAGGGATAGCGAGAAAGGGAGAGAAAGAGAGAGAAAGAGAGAGGAAAATCACTCGTCCCTTCTTCTCCTCCCCTTCTCTCCTCTCCCCCTCCCCCCTATTACCTTAATGGGTGAAGGGGGTAATTGTGTGTGCGGCGTCCCTCTTTTAATGACTTTTTTATTTGTTTAAGAAAATTGATGGCAAGGTACATCGACAGAAATATGTAGGTACAGGTAAATATTAATTAAGAGTAATGAGAGAATGCAGTATATAGGTAATGCAAATATTTAGAAGGATTATATAGATAAATATGTAAATAGATAATATTTAGAATTAGTTACAAAGAGTTTGAATAACAACACAAGAAATAAATTTTCCCAAGAGATGACTTTAACATGAAATTTAAACAGATGATGACTAAGCTATTTATTGCGATGTTATTTATATTGATATTCGCAATAAAGGCAAGTGTTAATGTACAATCATCACATAATATTAACTGGAACATAGAGAACAAATATATATACAAAATCATATATGAATTTTGAATTATTAAAAAAAATAACGCAAACACACTCGCAAAATAAAAATAAAAATATAAAAACATAAATGAATTTCAAAGTAATAATAAGAAAGATACAATCGTAAATTTTAAACAAAGAAAATATATAAAATAATTTATGAATTGTAGAATAATGATTTAAAAAACGAACACACACGCAAACCATAAATAATGGAAAATAATAAAATCATAGAATCTCCATAAAAAAGTGCACTGAACTAAACATAAATAAATAAATAAATAAACAAATAAATTATAACAAATAAAAACAAAAATTACAAATAAACATATTTTCTTTGGTACGTAACTACAATGTCCTTGAACCGAATGTATTTCCAAGAAGAAGAGAAAGAAAGAAAACAAAAAAAACACACACACGGAAAACGAAAAAACAACAACAGAAAAACAAACAAACAGAAAAATAACCCTCAACTCTACGTGTATTTTGTATCACAGCGAAAATCCCTTCATTCCGACTTTGATGTTGCAAAGAGAACCGACTTCTCGTCTTAAATGTCTTGCTGTGTGTTGCAAAGAGCCTGGCAGTTTGTTTTTTATTTATTATTTTTGTGTGTGTAAGTGCGATATGGTAGAAGAGTTGTGTTGATGTGTGTGTGTGAGTGTTTGTGTATAAATGTAGTAAATCGGTGTATTCATGGTACACACACAGACATATGTAAATGCATATATATGCGGTATATACGTACATATTTATTATACATACATATTGAAGCATGTGTGTGTATATATGTATGTATACACACACACACACACATAT